TGTTTACAAACTTCTGGGGCATACCCTGTTGAGCAAGTGTAGTTAACAGAACTGGCCGATCAACAGAATCAAACGCACCCTTGAAGTCAAGGAATACCACGATTGTGGGTCGTCTGGACATGTGGCGTTGCTCTACCACCTGACGGAGTGTGGAGACGGTCAACGCAGCCCCTGCCCGGTCAAAATCCCACTTGATTATCACCAGGCAACGTTTTGCGTGCCACAATAAGATGACCAGAAGCCCTGTCGCAACAGAAGGCAAATTGACACCTCTGTGGCTACTACATTCACCGCGAGTACTCTTTTTGAAGATGGACATTACAGTCGATTTAGCGCAATTGTTTGGGATGGCCTCTTCCTCCCAGGTAGACCCAGGCACTGGCTGGGAAACCCAACGCGACCCTTGAAAACAGCAGGTTTAAGGTAGTTGGATCAGCAGCACTCGGACACTTCCGATACTGAAGGCGGCTGCATATTCAGGGTCCACCTTTCTGCTGAAGGTCAGGATTCCCGACTGAAGGTAGCAAGTGACCAGCTGAATTATCGTTTGAAATACTATGCCCAGGGGTCCTTAATTATTTATCTGACAAGAGCTTTCAGAGGACCAGTCGAACGAATCAAGTGAAACAGCTTGCGAACGTATCTAGCATTTTTCGCACCTTCCATTTCTTCAGCCTTTCGGATCAACCAAGCTTCTCGGTCTGCGCGTACACTCAGTTTCACCAGGCGTCGGATGATCCGTGGTGGAGTTGTGGTTGCGGTCAGGAGGGAGCCAGAAGTTTTGGCTTTGAGTAGCGCTTTGGATGCCTTATCCCAATGGTCATTCATACTCGACACCGTGCCGTCCGGCAGGCATTCTGATAGTTTCGTTTGACTGCTGGGTCCACTAGCTTCTCAATGGTTAGGCGAGGTTTGCACGTTTTGCGTACCCCTGAAAAGCGCATGGTCGGAGTCAACTCTGGTGTTCCAGAAAGAGCTACAGGTGGTGATCGACTCTTGCCACCGATAGCTGACGGCGATACGGTCTATTCGGATTCGTGGTCGGTTTGCTGGTAGGCACCAAATCGTCAAATGAGCTCCGCCGTTCTGGAAATTCGAATCGCAGAGGAACAGTCTGTGATCAGCACGCATCTGAAGTAAGCGATCCCCGATGTCCGTGCGTCTCAACCACGGACGACCACCCAATCGAGCCTCAGCAGCGCTTGGTCCACCTACCTGGGCGTTCGTGTCACCAACAAGGACAACCATATATGAGCTTTTACTCGCTGTATAAGGGCACCTGGAGCACCATAGAAACTGTACTCAGCAGACTCAGAGCTGCAGTAATTTGGACGTAAGCAGCCACAATAAACAAAATGCGATGGACCTCACTTCATCTAGCTTCTCTCATATATTTTGACAAACGAACCGCACAGAGGCAACTATAAACGGGTAACCAATCACGTAAAGACTTTTCCACTTGGTCCATCAACTACGGTCACTTGCACCCTCATTAGACCGAAGAAGAACTACCTGTTGGTCTGCTTGCTTCAGCGTGCAAACTAAAGGTGGTCAAGTATACAGGCTTTCGGGGTTTGAAACTAGACTTCGAAGTGTCTAGGGTTATTACTGGACTCGGACGTACAAAAGCTGCAGCTGAATGTGATGCAAGATAAGCAAAAAACAGTCTGTTCTGGTGCTGAAACCCAAGGAGAGAGTATTCAAAGTTGGGTGGGGTAGGAAGACGGAAAATATGAAAGTGTGAGAAGGGCAGTGTCGGCAGTAGGATGTTTTTGCCTACCCGCCCGGCTGCACGCAGCAAGTAAGGCGACCCGGCTGATGGCGTCATGCGACGGCCGATGTGGTATGAGAGTATTGTTAGCAGTAAATGTTATGGTTGTACGCAGGATGGGATACTGCAAAGGTACCTACACCTAGACAGGGGGCACAGGGAGGTAGCCGCAGATGCCCGACACTTGCTGCTGATATGCACAGCAGACGTGTTCTGAAGCGCGACAAAAGCATAGCAGGGTTTATGTTTTTCGATCATACAGGACCCGCCGACAGCCACGGCCGGAGTGTGTGGCTTTAACGGACTAACTGTTCTTCGTCTGGTTGCTCAGTGTTGGACTTTCAGGTATGGTTGAACCTAAAGGAACTAAATTCCAGCCGACACAACTACGACACTGAAGATCGACTAACATGATAAGGTGACAGCTCGAAGTCTGGAGCAGCCCGTCTCCGGTAAGCGGAGCTAACAGATACAACAGAACATCTCGTCAATAAGTGTGGGTGCGCGTCTTCCGGGAACACCCTTAGTGCATATTGAATATCGCAGTCTTAACTACAGGAATTCCGTGGATAGCTTGTGCGCCATTAGACACTCGCAAGGAGCCGTGCATGCCGGCGTCCAGGCGCTTGTTGTTCAAGGAAAGGCTTAAATGTGATACAACGACGACCACCAACACATCATGGCCCCAACTTTAACGTTCGATGGGCAGCAGAGACAGTATCGTCTGTTTTGTACCACCAGGGGTAATCCCCTAAAAATTTCGCGGAAACTCGAACCCATACTGAGAGAAACAAACCATCCCGCTGTAGCACCCTTCCGGTGCCTGAGTGCCATGTCACCAGAAAGAAGCACGAAAGCGGGGATACTGCCAGGTTGCCAAAACCTAGACAGGGGAAGTCAAGAGGCATAGGTCGGGTTCGGACCAGTGACCTTCCGATCAATAAATTCGCGCTCTATTCACTGAGCCATCTCGCCTCAGCCCTACTTAAACCTGTTCCATCTGTAGCTTACCCATAGTGGCCATCCTCTTTTCTGACATTCGCAAGGTCTTCAAGCTCATTCCTCATGGGAAAGTCGACATGTTTTTGCATCCTTCTACCTAGGTAAATCGCCATCCATAATGATAGCTCAGTGGTTGAGAGCGAATTTCCTGACCGGAAGATCTGTGGTTCAAACCCGACCTCTGCCCCTCGACTTCCCGTCTAGGCTATGGCAACCTGGCAGTATCCCAGCCCTCGTGCTTCCTTCTGGTGGAATAGCAGCTAGACACCGAAAGTATGCTACAGCTGAACGAATGATCCCTCTTTCGGATTCATCCATTGCTACCATAATATATCCATCTTGCCAGAGCCCGACACAAGTTCTCTTCAAACACAAGTGCCGGGTTCACCAAGATCCTGATGACCGTGGTCACGTTTCCACTATCTCCTGGAATATTGTGGGAGTAATACCTGGTGGCTGGTCGCCATAACTAGTCCATACGCAACCGGTCTACCTCTGGCCTCTCTGATCCGTCAAGCTGAACATGTTTGATGAAGCGGGACTAGTATCACTTCGTATATTGAAGGATTTGGATCGTAAGAAATAAACGCAGCCTAAAAATGAACGAATGGACTTTGAAGTGCGCATCGGTGTTGTTCCCACAGCTTCCGGCGTCATGGGAGTGCTACATGAAGTTGTTACCCACCGTACCCTACTTTTCTGTGACATCGCCGTCACGCGTTCGCTGAAAATATTACCGTTCACCACTCTAAGCCCCCATCTCTCCAAGCTTTCTGATTACCCTATAAGTAACAACCACGGTTCATGATGAGGGTTTTGCAAAGGCTACACCAGTCAAATTTTCGAAATCCTATAATCGAGGGATAATTCATCATCCGCCCGAAATTTTTACTGTTATCGGTCCAAGCCGTATTACCCGATTTTTCTGCTCCCAAATTTGAGTTTCCATGGTAGCCTTTGTTCTAGTCATACCGAAGTGGTCACGACGACTTTGCTAAGTGTGATATTTCTCAGCTTCCCAAGTATTTCAATACCTACGAATACTGTTTTCGGAAAATATAACTTTCCCTGTCTTGTTCCACCTGAGTTATTCCCTTTCCTCCCGCCTCTGCACCTTAGACCATATCACGAGGAACACCATTGGCGTCGTCAGCCGGTATCTCACTGATGATGAAAAACAAAGAGGACTGATCACGTGGGTTCAGGATTACCACTCTTAGCCCGCTGTGCGGCTCTTTCCGCAGAACTTCATTCATCCTTACCAAGTTGTCGCAACCAACTATTTTGGTAAGACTTTTACAGGGTACTAAGGATGACTACCAAGATAGCTACATGCATTTAGCTACCAACACCCATGCACAACCCTGAAAGCCAATAGTAGTTAAATTTTGATGAATAAGCGCAAGTTGAGTACATATTTTATGGTGAAGTCGTTTTAAAAATCCATTCAGGTGTGGTGACGTTTCAGTGCACAGCTGTCGTGCAACTCGAACGACACACGAAGACTGAGACAATGCCAGGCTGTCTGATCTTATGTACGAGTGATCGAAAGTCCGTGGTCGGGTTCGGACCAGTACATCCCGGGTCTTAACCACCGAGTTACCGAATACTGTCGAGGTAACAGTTAGCGCGTCTAATTTTGCAGAGGTAAAAAAATGGTCTCAGTGCTGAATACTCACCTTTGTGAACGTGATGCATGCATTATTGTAGCGACTTCGGTGGGGCCCTTGATATTATATTCATTAACGCGTGCGACCAACGGCTGCTGAATCACCGAAGTCTACAACATTATTCATCGGACTAAAAATTGTTCACTTGATTGCGAATCCGACAGTCGAGAGCTCTTCTGCGTTTCGCTTCAATAACGAGGCGTTGCTGATCTGTTAACTCGTTCTTATCCATGACCTAGTTGATAAGCCTTTTGAGACTATGATAAAGCTCTGGCAAAGTTAAAAAAGACACATGGATAAAACAGTTTATTGGATATCACATTTCATGTGAACACAACAGAGTGCAGCATTCCACCAACACACTGAGCAATATTCGCTGTCATCAAACTCTCCACATTCTCCCCCAGGTGACGTTTGGGATCCTAAAAAAAGTTTGCCAATTTATAAGCAAAAATTGTCATACCATCCGTCCAACGTTTTTGACCAACAGCTGTTCTGGTGTCATCTTCTCCTCTTCCTCTAAGGACTACAGAATAATAGAATAGGGAATAATGTACCTTATGGTAAGCCTTCACCAAATCTAGCATCGCAGTGAGTGTTTTATGATTATTGCTGCAATGTGCATCGTAGTCTGCAAGAGCCAGTCCATCCTTCCATGTATTCTTGTTTAGATCCATCAACATCTGAACAGTAAAACACATAGAAATGTACGAACTTTTGTTTCCCATTGATTCTTGCGGTAATTGATAGGCAGAGAGTAATACTGTCTATTCAGTCCATGAATCAGTGCTTGAAGTGATGGCTTGTTGAGATGACCAACATTGGAAGTAGTTTGCCTGGGTTCTTGGTTTGCGATAACCAGATTAGGGTTAATCAGCCGGAAGGCATCAATAACCACCTGTGAAGGGATGAAGCAATGTATCCTGGACTACCTTGCCCTTGACACTCTGAATAGGATCAACCACAACAGCCACAGCACGATCAGATAAGGCTTCAAAACTCTGCTGCGTGTTCATATCAACACCAGATAGCCAGCAGCCAAAACCAGGATGTGAATGATACCAACCAACGACCATTTCGGGTCTAAGACAATGCAGATAAGGATTGAAGACATACCTCCCAGTTTGCTTCAACATATCCAACATTTTAGCCTGAAATACTGGGTCCACCGCTTCAACGCTGACCCCAGTACCAGACTGTGGCATGGCGAATACGTCGACTACCGTGACCGTGTAGTCGTCAACGAATTCGCCTAACATAAGTCCCATAACTTCCATTGGAACACCAGCTCGACCGTGCTTAAGCATTTTCAACAGGGCCAAACTGCTAATGTAAACCTGTTCTGCGCTGTCTGGAACAGGTCCATCTGTCGGTTGTGCGTTGGACTGTCCCAGGGCGGCCAAACCGTCAGCACTCAAACGGAGTATCCTATCCATCCAGGTGATGAGTAACCCAAGGACAGTGGCAAGCGACCCACTCCAACTGCAGAGCTCCTGTTGGTTGTTTCTCTTTAGGGGTAGGGTGACCTTGACGTTGAAACGTACTTCAAAGGATTCGAGGTTTTCTAGTAGATCCAGAAAAACTGTAGGTGATCCACACTCTGAGTTATTCGGCTTTGCATACCCCTGCAAATTCGGCAGCCTCGCGGGTTCACAGTCAAGATGGAACTGTATCACAGCATAATAAGTGGTTAAGAATGTTACACATAGAGGAACGCACATTTTTTCGTAGTGTTCCTTTCTTTTTCACCTTCATATAATTTTCGTGAATTTCATCCTCCTTAACTTTTCTTTGTTCCACCAATACACCCTTCATTGTTTTGGTCAGAGGTGAACAGATATGAAGGACTGATAGGAAGTAGACGAGTAACGGAATCACAGTCACGCCGTGAAGGAAACCACAGTGTTTGTGGAAGATTCGTCCAGAATGTTGTTTAAAGAGTGAGGTTCCCCGTAGATCGTAAATTTTTCGCGCGACTGACAAATCATCTCACCTTCTCTCTTTTTTCTTTTTTAATTTGTGTTCACAATCTCGCTGTTTGACTCACACATATTCCCGCGTCTGTCTCCACCATGTCTCTACTGAACTTTAGCCTCCTATTCATCCCTTATTTAGCTGACTTACCCAAGAGGTATCGGAATGAAACTACACTGTAACAGACCCCCAATGAAGAGACTCCCGGTGGCATAAAGCAGATGGAGTTCGACAGAAAACAATTTGGGGAATGATGACGAAGAGAGTTGGTTGAACGGAAGGCCAGAAACACGTAGTGATTGAACAGTGTGGAAGCAAGAGAATGTAACAGCGCCATGGAATAGACTTCATCGGGAAGCGTTTATACCCCAGCTTACATCCCAGGTGTATGTCGTAAGGGACAGCGGCAGGGCTCAACTACCATAACCGAGGCAGTTGGTTGAACGGAAGGCCAGAAACACGTAGTGATTGAACAGTGTGGAAGCAAGAGAATGTAACAGCGCCATGGAATAGACTTCATCGGGAAGCGTTTATACCCCAGCTTACATCCCAGGTGTATGTCGTAAGGGACAGCGGCAGGGCTCAACTACCATAACCGAGGCTTTTTCGTAGGCTAAAGCGATTAAAAACATGATAAAGGTAAGTGCTATTTTCCAGACAGATGATCCAAGCCATCAGACCGAACCGGAAGGACCCAAAGGGTTTAAAGGTGTTTAGCTGTGGGGTAAAGTGGCTCCTGTTCCGGAAAGTGCTCAAACGGTTGTACGCCTGTGCATCTGAGCAAAAAAGCAAAGGCTTGGTGGTTTGGGAGAAGCAAGACCTGGGGCAATCGCTCAGGTGCAACAGGCTGCGGGAGGAGTGGTGGCAGTAAGCTGTCTAAGTGCTCGCTCAGATGCGTAGGCTTCCGCAGTTAACAGCCCTAGGACATCGGGGACTCCCAACAACCATACACTACGGCGCTTGTGGGCATAACTTAAACCACCTCTGGTCTCCGTTCGGAGCATTTTGGCAAGCCAGGTGCCGTTCGTTCTCGTGAACCGTAAGTGGATCTTCCGACGAACTGGTGCTCAGCCGGGTTTCTCGCATTTTTCAGTGAACCGGAGGTACAACTTACGGTGTCAGAACCAACGACCTGATGGATGCTTTCATCACTTGTCACTTGTCAGACAGAAAACGACCGAATGAAGGCCCACATCTTTAACGGCTGAGCTTGTAGAGAAACGGCTACCGTATTCATGAAACGTGTAGCCTGCATAATTCGAAAGGCACCACATAAAGAGAAAGGTTTGGACATGGATGGTTACACAAAAGTGCGTGACCGAACATCGACAGCATACTTTCTAGACTGGGTCACAATCAGGGCGTTTTGAAGAGCATCTTGAATGAAATAGCCTGCTCGGATGGCCCGCGAGGGATGGGTGACTTCGGTTCCGAAGAGTGAGGTAGTAGCAGGTGACGGTAACCGTGCTCATGGTGCTACTATATCTGGCGTTCTTGCTGGATTCCCTGAACGGCAACTTCTGGAATTTCTTGTTTTGTTCCCTCATTGGACAGCGACTCAAACCCACTCAACAGTGGGAAGTAATTATCACCTGTATTTATGGTATTGTATTTCGGGTGTTGTATGAAGTGGCCCTTGTACATTAAGCGCGCCTACCAACAACTGTGAGATCGTATCTACATGGAAATGAAGTTAAATGGGTCTGATCACTTAGAGGTGGCAGCAAACTTCATGCGCTAATCTAGTCACGCGAAGATTTCCGCCGTGGTGGCCGGTCAGTGAAGGTTTACGGACGAATAACTAAACTTACATGAACGAAAATCCGCGTAAAAGATTTCCGCGGTAATTATCGTTTTATCATGCGGCCGTTCACCGGTATCAGTTCTGGCACACTATATATTTGGCTGTTAAAGGCAAACGGTACTCTCTAGGCCACAGGAAGCTTACGGGCTCGGCGTGCATGGTATCCACTCCAACTGTGTGTGGTCCATGCTTCACATCCAAATGGACCTTCGGCTGAACCAAAACTGCCTATAACCCTACCTCGGTTACTTATACCCCATTTGACCTCCATGGACAACCAAAAATTCTGTTACCCACAGAATCACACACCTCCGGCTCAATCATCTCAAACATGACGCCCATTACAAGGCTTTTCGGAGACCGAAGTATGCCGGTGCCATGATGGCACGGCACAACCATGTTCAGTCTGGCTGCACGTCCGCAACTATTCCCTTCTTACTCTTGATCGTGCTCTCACATCCACTAGTTCTTTTACCTCAAACTACGAACAAACTGTTTACCTGGTCACAGCCGCCTCTGGGAGGAGTTCACTCTTACCCGCCAACCCACTCGTTCGTACATCACCATTCCGTTTTGCGATTCCATTATGTCCCTTCCATATGTTCAACGATTCTAATTACGACGACCCTTGGCCCTATGCACTAGCACTAACGCCCTCGGAACTATCTTTTACACCCTACTTCCTCCTGACCTTGAGATCAGTGAGCCCAACCAGCTTCATTGTAGACAATAATTTTCAGGCGAGGCCTGCGGTCATCGCTACTTTAAGTTGATCTATTTTTTCATCCCCTGTGCTTCTCGTGACCGTGATCATTTATAAATCACCCGGGGTCACTCACAGGCAGCAATGGTTTCGCAGGTTTATTATTAATAATAGTAATAATGTTTATTCTCAACCAGTGGGCGGAATACCATCACGATGGTACAGTCAGAATGAAAGTATGACTGGCGGGCTTTGTGGGCACAGGGGATTGTGAAGGAAAGGGACACTGTAATAAACCGGTTTTAACATTGAAGTAGTGGTACATCATGCCCAATTGCTCTGCATTTATTGTTTTCCACGATGCACGTGGTTAGCCTGTCCCTTTAATCTTACCTTTCGGCAGTTGTGTCTCTGTCCAACGTGTTCACGTTCACAAATCATGCCTGAATCGGTGTGCTCGCTACAATTTTCGGAGTATACCAGTCGTTATTATTATTAGTGAAACCCCGCTTCCGGTATGTCTGGGCTGACAGGCCACCCGAGTTATTTCGGAGCTCGTTTGCTCATCCGAATCACAGGCCAGCATCGGCTCACTCGTTACCAATTTCCTAACCTTCGGTCACCAAATATGAGGTTAGTAGCCTGAAGGATAAGTACCCCCTCGGGTCAAACAGACCACGAAGCTCATTGTAGAGGAGGGGTCAAAAATGTGGAGTATTTAAAGTTCGATGGCTTTTGGAATCCTATCCGACTTGAGGTCTGTTGACATGTGGCCTGCATTCCCTTAATTCAGTGGGTGTCTTGAGTAGTTTCTGTCTGATTACCTTACGCTCTTGGCTTGTCAGGGCATGGAATTATATTTTTTTTAAAACATTCGAAAATGTATCAAACTGGGTCCTAGATACAGCAAGAACAACCGTACTGTTCTGGCATCTCCCCTTTCGATTGACCCATTCGATCGTTTCTACCTTTTGAAACTCATTATCTTGGATTTTGTGGTCCACTGTAAGATTCTGTTGTCTTCAAATACGATTTTCTGCGGTTTTTAAAAATGGCTCAGCTTTCTGTTTATAACCGTTATTTCTGTGCCTCGGGATTCTCGAGTTTGGCGGATTATTTACTTGCGACATGGCAGACGAGTTTCCTACCCTACAGGCTCCGAAACTCCTGCAATCGTTACTGGCCGGTTGTTTTCTTTTTATCTTTTCCCCGTACAAACTTACAACTCGTACTAGTCTAGCTCCTGCACCGGACTACTCTATAAAACCTGTCTAGCGTCTATTGTTCTCGTCCAAACTCTACTGGCAAAAACCAAATCAAAATTAGCTGTTTCTTCCCCAAATCACTGCACGACTTACCTACTAATTCTAATTATGCTGTGTTACTGGCCTGGTTGTTTTCTCCTGCCCCGTCAACTTATGCTTCGTCCTAGTCGAGTCCCTACCCCGGATTACTCTATCAGCTCTGTCTAGTAACTGGCGCTTTCAGTCTAACTCTAACTGATAAAAATCAAACCAAAGTCGATTTATTTCTTCATTCCATTATCAGAGCGCATCCTGCGCTTATATATACCCAGTTGTTGATTTGTTCCACCAAACACTCTCATGCAAAATAGCGCGGTACGATTCTGCTCGACGTGGCAGCCCACACCAACGCTCCGACGCGTTTTAGCCATGGTGCATTCGCCGTGAGTATCAACATTCCAGTCCCACCGACTCACTGACAACTGTCATTTCACCTCTCCTCCGCGACTTGCCTCTACCAGCGTCTGCATGCTGTTGCTTGTTCGGATTGGCCGAGCTGTCCTTACTGGCCATGCTTTTTCCCGACCAAAAAAGGTGGCTGGAGTATTTGTTAATGCACAAACCGCACTTATGACGGCTTGGATGGTTTTCCACCTTGCAGATCTGGTAGCATACACGAAGGAAAAAAACCTCGTGTGGTGGACGGGTACGCCCTGCAGGGAGGGTCGCCCTGTTACGTTGCACCATGGTGCGTTCGTATACCCGCCACCCCTCCAGTAGCACGGGTGCATCGCCCATCGCCGGTGGTTCTGAGTCTGGCCTTTAAATTCAGGAAA